AGGTGCGATATGTTGTTTACAATTTTGTGATGACTGTGTAGGGGTAACAGTTTCCTATTTGGTTTGATCTGTATAATTTTGATGCTAGTTTTTTGCGTCACACTTCATGTGGGTCACCCTGTACTAGATGTGATAACAATTCTGAGTGCAGTTCGAAACCATCACAACCTGTAGTGCTGAATAAAATAAAAAGACAAGAGCTATGAAAGTGATTTTTGTGACCAAAGTTTGCAGTGTTTGGTGGGGTGTCCCTCGCCCTTCGCTACGTCTACGTCTTGCCTTGCAACGTTACCCGATATAAAAAGAGCATAGAGATATTGAAATCACTGAGCAAAATATCCTCCATATTTTATGATTCATGTAAGTTAAAGGCACAGTTCACGACAATTCAATGGGCGGGAACGTCAATGGCTTCCCCGCCTCTCGATCGATGTCACATCATCATCATGAATTTTTGCGTACTATTGTCTGTTATTCACACCAGGAGCCACACGTACGCAGTGAGACACATTGTGTAGCTCGTCCCAACGCCTCACTCTTCTTCATTTTTCCGATCTCATTCTCGTCCAGTCCCCTTTTTAACGGTTTTTTAAAGCCTTTTTCACTTCGGAACACCGATGCACACAGTTTCTTCACCTCAGTCGCACTATTTTCGATCTTGTCTTCCATTTTTCATCATAATCTGGATTACCCAAAATTATCGTGAACGGTGCCTGTCACCATTACGGACAGAAAAAAAGGTTTCCGAGAGAATGAACGCCAGATCAAAGCGCCATTACTGTTTATCAGAAGTAACAAACAGAAGTTTTTTTCACAGTGAATAAGCAGAGGAAGGAATAGAATGTAAGTACGAGCGTTTCTTCACCTTTCGACTTCACCACTCCAATCTCCCTTTACCCATCTTCGTTCATTCCTACTCTGCATAGGAGTTAAGAGCCCCATTGCTCCAAGGGCAACTGGAATCGAACATCTGAGACAACAGTTCCAAATGGGTTTCTTCACTATACCAATTTCAGTGAACAGTCTTTGGAACCGTATAAGTGCGGCAGGCCTAATCAAAAAACTAATGGCTGGAGCCCATGGCTAGTACTTTGACTCCATTTATCTATCAAAAGGGAGTCTTGTATTTGCTAATGTAACGATTATCACAAAAATGATGAATTCCAAAATTCTAAAAGAACAATTCGAAATTCAATAAAACCTCAAATAGCTGATGAGATTCTCCAAACTCCAGCTAGGATTTCCATGTCGGTGAATAGCCCATCCAGCGGTGGCTGATCCACTCATAATAATCGCTTGTTGAGCCAATCCTGAATTCGACTTTAATGGAAGTGCTTCAGAAATACCTGAAAAAATATCAACAAAAATCAAACTGGTCGCAGCAAACCTTCAGTTCTGGGACTTAGTGCCAATAGACTGCAGGCTGCACCACCAGCTGACTCGCCCATAAGCGTGACTCGAGAAGGATCGCCTCCAAATTGCTTAATATTTGCTTGAATCCACTGTAGAGCCATCACTTGGTCCCAAATACCGTAATTTCCCTCCACAGTATCGCCAGATCGTGTGGTTATGAAACCTGAAGTATGAATTTCACCTGGAATTGTCTTCAGCTGGGAAGCAACGCTCATATTTTGCTCTGCATGTTGTAATTTGTTAGAAGCAATTCAGATTGGGGTTTTTATATAACTACTTCCAACTTAAAAACACTGTTTACGATGGAAAAGGTTACTGGGTTCTTCCTTTAGGAATACTCAGCGCCCCCATGAGTGGTAGAAGGGACCCTCTCGCTCCCGCAATCTCGGCGTATAGGGCATGGTGGAAGCCCTGTTGCTGCCGTAGTTGGTTTTAACGCCCCTCGATCGATGTCTCGTTAGACGAGTGTCGAGAAAATACAGGTTGCAACTATTCGTTCTAGGACCCAAACACAATCAGCTGATCGCCGAGTGATGAGGCGATGTTTTTCTCCCATTCTTTTTTCATCTGTTATTCTTTTTGCTGCCGCGATCCCTTATTTAACTTCCTAATCCTAGAGGCTGAAAAAGATGAGCTACTTCTGCTGTTACTAGAATTTCTTGTTTACTTATGCTTATAAGTGAATG